TTTGGAAGGTGTAAAGGCATAAAACCTGCACCATCACCATGGATCTGGAAATGTTATTTAGAGCTGTGTATGTTAATCTGGACCAATAAGTTAATCTGACCTTCTAAAAGAAATAATGGCATCAGTTTTTTCTTTTACCCTGATGTAAGTTAGTATGATATTTAATGCATGGTTGTTTATAAACTTAGTATAATATAATATGTAGAATTTAGTTTGATCTTATAGCTGATTTAATTACAATATGAAGATGGTGAAGGTGATGGTGATGGGAGTTTTAGTAAATGTCCAGATGAAGGAAGGTTTGCAAGTGTCTTGGGAACTTCAGTCTCAAATGAAACCAGCAAAGAACTTGAAACTGGTGCTTCTGGAAGCTTTGCCCGGTTTTTGAGGTCCAACAGCAGCATTATTGAAGCTAACGTAAGACCTGAGGCAGCATCTCATCTATCATTATTCCCAGAATTTTTTGCACCTGTAAACCAATGGAGGGCTTTACTTCATTCTGACAAGATCTGCTCATCTCCTGTTGATTATCCTCCTCGAAAGCTAGTTTCTATTGGTGCTCAGCATCAAGCTCATGTTCCAGTATGGGGCTTTGAGGGTTCACACGCTTCAGTTCATCCAGAAAAATTGGATCCTCAACATGAGCCTTCATGTCCTTCCAGTCAGGATCTTGTTCTTGACGTTAACGAGGAGAAGCTGATGGGTACCTGTGTCATTTCTATGCCTGACCTTGAAGCATCTGCAGCAAACTATTTCTGTGAAGATGTGGGAGCTAGAAGCAACTGTAAGTGTGGTGATGCAGGTTCGGTTAGATGTGTGAGACAACATGTCATGGAAACAAGAGAGAAACTAAAAGAAGACCTTGGAGAGCACCTATTTGAAAAGTTGGGATTTTATGAAATGGGGGAGGAGGTTGCAGATAAATGGACTAAAGAGGAAGAGCATGCCTTCCGTGATGTTGTCCTCTCTAACCCTGTATCATTGGGTAAGAACTTCTGGCACCACCTCTCCGTGGCTTTTCCTTCCCGAACACATAAAGACCTTGTCAGCTATTATTTTAATGTTTTCATGCTCCGTAAACGGACTGAGCAGAATAGGTTTGACCCTCTAAACATTGACAGTGATGATGATGAGTGGCAAAAAAGTGAACTTGGAACCATAGAGGATGATGAGGACTCTGGGGTGGAATCTCCTGTCAATCTAGATGCTCCTGCCTATAATCAGGAAGAACACTTAGAGGGTTGCTATGAACACATTGAGGATGCATATGACGTAGATGGTTGTAGAGATGGCAACGAGGCGGTTGATTACGTTGGAATGAAGGACAAGGATGGGGGTGATATAGATGATGGCTCAGGAGCTCATGTTGGGAGTTCCCCTGGTGATTCTGGTGGTACCAAAACTCAGGTTTTGGATAAGATTGCTAGCAATAACAGAGAGGATTATGATATTCAAGATGATTCTTGCACATCATATGAGTATCAGAGAGACAGTTGAATTCTTTTGTCCTCTTATTGACAGAAATGGTTCAAGAGACTGCAGTGTAGAATGACGTGATCCTTTTCTGAGTAAGTACAATAAGCATCGTGACTGACCTATGAGCTTTTGAATGATAAAGTTCAAGAAGAAGCCCAATAAGGATGATAAGGTGGCAAGGGACAGATATGAACTACACTAATTCCCAGTACTGTTGTTCCATTGAAGCCAGCTTTGGGCTGTATGAACTCTTTAAATCCTCCTTTCAGGATTTGGGGAACCCTGAAGAAGGATTTTCAAATGGACGATAGATTATTAACCATTCAAAGATGCAAGTAGTTTTCTTTCAATTTTTTCACTTCTTGGAAGAAGGCAGCTACAGACGTAGATTTTTAGTACATGATGGATGTCCATGGGTTAGTCAAAGGGACGGCCATGGTCGATGGAATTTTTCTTCAGTGAACAGGGTGCAATTTCTTTACCTGTGAGACATAAATCCTGTTTTTTTTCTTGTGAGGATGAGATGTGAGAATGTGAAGGTTTTCATTGGAAGTGAATCAAATCAGCAGTTTGTTACCAAAAATTTCACCGTATCTTTTTGGTAGTGTTGCATTTGTCTAAGGTTCATTCACATTGTTTCTTTACCCTCAAGTTTTATATTTTGTTTTTGTTTTCAAAGACTAAATGCTGAGCATTCTTCTGTGTACTCATCAAAAGGAAATGGCTGTGGGTGAAAACAAGGGAAGGCCAGGCATTTCCTTGCAAATTATGTCATAGCCAAGCATCAACTTGTGCTCTTTGTTGTTATGCTAACTTCTTTCTGGTTTATAATGCTTCTATTCATCATTTTTCAATGGTTAAATGCGGATTACCATTGGAATTATGAGCCCACAGCATCAATATTTTATTTAGAACATATTAAATTATCCTTTTTCCCCAGTATTCTCTCCCCTTATTTTGTATACAAATTTATAAATAAACTCAATCCTAGACATGTATTTATAAAAAAACCCAATCACTATTTAAACATAGAAACACACCCAAAATTAACCCCAAAGTCAACTTTTTGGGTGTGTTTATAAATGGGTTTTGAGTGTGTGTAATGATGGGTTTTGGGTGTGTTTATATGTTTAAATAGTGCTTGGGTTTTTTTTATAATTTCAACCCCTATTTTGGGTGTTTTAGTGAAACTCCCTATTTTGTAAGCCCCTTTTCAATCCTTTGCTTTTATTTGTTTTCAACATAAAGCATTTACATGGTAAATTAAATACTCTTTTTCTAGTAAGCTTCTTATATAACTTGCATCAATCCCAAAAGCAAACGGTTGCTGGATGGTGACCAATCATTAATATTCTGCCCTGCTAACATAGTTAAGGGTGATGAAAACCAGACAAAAATAATATGCAAACCACCTGCAGAGTTAAAATAACATTCTTAGAGCATCCACAATGATGCTCTCTATTTCTTAGCTAAAATTTGGCTAAGAATATAAGAAAATTATTTTAGGAGCTCTCTAAAAAATTTCAACTACAACCATACTCCCTAATTTGGAGAGTCATAAATGCTTTAACTCTTTTTTAATTGGTCCATCTCTATTATAAAATAAAATAAAAAAATAGTTAGCACTAAATAAATGTTTGAAATACTCATTAAATAAAGCAGCATTAAATTATAGGGAGCCACTAGAAGTCATTTCTCTCTCCTCAGATTTAGGAGCTCCTAGAGGACTCCCTATTTTAGGAGGTGGATAGGGAGTGTGGTTGGAGTTGCATTTTTACGATTCATCCCTAAAATTTGTCTAAGAAGATGGTTTAAAGAGCCCATTGTGGATGCTCCTAGCATCTATTCTATGGTAATATAAAATAGTTCTGGCAGATCAAACAAGAGACGAAACTTCTTAAACTAACATCATGACCAAAGAAATACAAACAAACTTATACAATTAAATCAGTACATGTTATTTTTTTCTTTGTGTACTTATTTGATAAAAATAAGAAGTTACACTAGTCTTATGCATTTTTGACATTTAGAGGCCAAAGCTAAGATTGTCAAAATTGGTTAAATGTCAAACTTGTGTTGACGTGGCTGAATGATTAAGTTATGCATGTTTTTGTACTTGATTAAAAGTCTCGTTCTAACCTAGTGAAAATGGATCTTGACTTGTAGATAAGAGGTTTCAGGTTTGAACTTCCATAGCATCTTAGTTATGCGCGTGTGATAAACCCCCCTCTTTTATAATTTAGACTATCCCTTGTACTCTATATATATATATATATATATATAATTAAACATCCAGCTAGGTACACCTGTCCAATTTACAGTGCACTTGAGTGTACTTTTATCATGCTAAAGCTCTTCTCTAAGTTCGGAGACAACTAAAGAAAAACACTTGGCCGCTGGAGCCTCCTCGAACCTGTCCCTTGTGTGGGGCTTTGCTTAGGAGCAGGACAAACCAAAACAAAAAGAACGTATGATTAAAGTCGCATTTGAATTCAGACAATTCAATATGCTCTGCTCGTACCTAATGGCAGATATCTCAGTTCCATTTTTAGTTCATAAATTACTCATTTTTCCTGCAACATTAATGGGAAATGTGAATTTGACATGAAAGTAGAATGCCTACCCAATTCTTGAGTCTTGAGCCCCAAGCAACACCATAAATGACTCTGTTTTTTCACTTAGCTCACTGAATTTTGTAAGGCACTCTGTAAGTTGTGCTCAATAATATTAATAAATTGTGCTAAGCAAAAAAAGAATAATTTCTGTCATAAATTAGAAATCCAAATCCATCCAATTTACTACGATAAGGTCCCTGTGAAAAAAAGAAACAATCTTTCATATATTAATTAGAGAAATGCCAAAACTAGAGTTTTAGTGCTAGCGAGTTGGAGGCTTCATGTACACAAGAAAGTGGGACAAAAGTCGGAGTCTTGGATTATAACTTTGCTTTCATGCAAGGATTTCTTTTCCTTTTTTTTCTGCTTCCAAATAAGGCACAGGCTAAATTTGGAGAGAGAAAATATTAGTACCAGAAAGTGATCCTCATCCTCTCTCTCTCTCTCTCTCTCTCTCTCTCTCGTTGTCATTTCTTGCCCGCTACTGGCAGAGCAGTGGTCAGTGCCTCAGTGGTCACATAACCAATGTGCTTCAGTTAGATATATTGCTTTGCTTCTTCGCTTGCTTGCATACATTTCAAGCTCCCAAGAGATCACAGGGAGAAAAAAGACCCCTTTTGCTTTGGGACCCAGATCTTGTTCTTGCACACCAATTCTGAGAAACCCAAATTGCTTCTTCTCCGATCACTTTGAAAAAGCAAGAAAGCCTCATGATTGTGGTATAATCGTTTAGTCCTCGGTGTTCTCTGATCTGGGTTTTTTGTGTTTCTCTGTTTCTTGAGCGTTCTTTTGTTATTTTTTTTCCTGGAATGCGGTGGAAAGATTTAAACTTTCTTGGGAAATTGGGCTTCTTCTTGGTTTTGGGATCTGGGTTTGTTTGCTTTTTTAGTTGGGTTGGGTAGTGGTAGGATGGAGCATAGATGTAAGCTCTGCAACAAGACCTTCTCGAGTGGCAAAGTCTTGGGAGGTCACATGAGAGGCCATGGAACAAAGAATTCGGCTAAAGCAGAGAAAAAGCTCAAAGTGAGCACCGTGGATTTTGAAGGTGATGACGATGAGCATGCTGGTTATGGCCTAAGAGTGAACCCCAAAAAGTCATGGAAATTTTCTGGCTCAAAGGTTCAAGCTTCTGAGAAAGAAAGCCTCTGCAAGGTCTGTGGAAAAAGGTTTGATTCAATGAAAGCTATGTTTGGTCACATGAGGCATCACTCGAGCAGAGAAAGGAAGGAGACTCAGTGTTGCAAAGATTGCGGTAAAGCATTTGAGTCATTGAGAGCTCTAACTGCTCATACCAAAATTCACTCAAAAAGGCTCAGGACCTCTGATGGATCGCAGAGCATTTCAAGCGAGAAGCTTTTTGTGGATTTCCAATACAGCACTGAGACCATGGGGCTGATCCGGAGGAAAAGATCGAAAAGATTAAGGTACAAGATCACTCCAAGTTCTTCTTCTTCTGGTATGAATGAATCTAAATATGCCACTGAATTTGGTCAAGAAGTAGTAGATGGGGCTATTTGCTTGATGATCATCTCCAGAGGTGGAAGCAATTGGGGTCGAATTAGTTCAGTAACTGAGTCTTCAGATAACAATTCGTTGTCTTTGGAGGTTCAATCGCCAGTCCAAAAGAATCGGATCATGGGAAATAGGGGTGGCATTTCTGTTTGTAATGATACTGGGAACAAAATATTTGAATTTGGTGAAAATGATTCTGGGTTTGCAAGTGATGAGGAAAAGATTGGAAAATTGGAAGTTCCTATTGACAGGTTTTACAGGGGTGCAGAGTGCAAAAGGCCTAAACTAGATGAGGATTCTGCATTTGTGGGGTATGATGCTGAGATTGAGAAGGAAAGTCATGGAGAGATGGAAGCCATCCTCACTGAAGTGGAATTGGATGTGGATATTATGAAGTCTGGTATGAAGGCTTGTGATTCTGGCAATAACATGTTATATGGCACTGAATCTGAAATATTTGCTGATTCTCGGAAGAAAAGAGAACACAAGTGCAGGACTTGCAAGAAGCTTTTCCGCTCTCATCAGGCACTTGGAGGCCACCAAAGAGTTCATAAAGCAACTAACAACTGTTCTGGAGAGAAGATTGAGGACTCTGAAGATAAAATTCTGATTAACAAGCTTTCTAAGATTGAGTACAGTTGCAAGCTTGCCAAGCTTGAATGTACTGATAATTCAGAGGAGCAGGAGATGGAAAGAGCAACTGTGACTGGTTTTGAAAGAAAGGTTCACAGGTGCTCCATCTGCTTAAAGGTGTTTGCAACAGGCCAAGCTTTGGGTGGTCACAAGAGAGTTCATTTTGGTAAAGATTCTGGGGCAGGAACAGAACAGACCAGAGCACTGAAGCAGCAGATTTCTGAAATCTGCGATGTCTTTGAACTAAGTCAACCAGTCAAACTTGAGGAAGAGAATGGTGATGTTGAATTCAAGTCCTGGTGGCTTGGAAATGAACATAAACGCGAGCTACTGGTGGGTCTGATGCCCAAATAAGAAGTGATTCCATCCATGGCTTTGTGGAAGTTTTTAGTGGCCTTTAGAGGCAAAAGCTTCTCTCTGCTGCTTATGTCTTATAGGTGGCAACCCAGAAATTTTTTGACCCCAATTCTGGGATTTTTACTTTTTTCACGTAGAAATACATTCATATAGTTCCAAACTTGTAGCTCAATGATACATATTTGGAACATTCTTGCCTTAATATGAATTTTTTCGTCCTTTTGAACTGTATACTTGCAAAATATCAGTATACAGAAACAGATTAGCAAAACTCTTACGTTTTCTTTTCCTGTTCTTTTGCTTTTAAATCGATAAAGTTTCAACGAAACACCTAATCTTAGGGGCCATTTTCTGCCACAGTGATTTAGCCACTGTGCAGATGCTGCAAAGATGATCGAAAATGAAGCCCGAAGTGTGAAAAATGGTGGTTGAACATATAGGATGATACGTACGTATTGTTTACTTCTTTACCTCTATGTATCAATCTTCTTTTGCAAGTAAGCTACAGATACCTTTGCCTTGACCCAAAAGAAACCAGTCCCAACTTTAAATTTGTTCTTTTTGTAAAATTTTGAAATGCATTTAAACTGAAAATCTAGTTAAATCTTACATGCTAGATGGCCTAACTTGTGTCACGGCCCGCATGTTCAAGGCTCAACCGTTGGATTGATCATGCTAGACCTCTTAGCCCACATGTCCAGATTCGTTGTACAGTAGTTGGTAGACTACGGTTGGTGACAGTAGTTGGTAGATGCCGGTAGGTGACATTGTATCTTAGCCACCTACTGCGGTGGTAGGTGGGATAGGAACAGTATATAAGGGGGATATCACATTGTGTATCCTCACCTCACAACTTGTAAAGCATTTGAGTAGCAATACAAGCAGATATTCTCCCAAACTTTCTTTAGCATTCTTTTACGTTCTTGCTCTTGCGATTGTTCTTTGCTTGGTTCAATCTTGTGTTGTAGGAAGGAGGCTGACTTAGCTTGTTCAAGAGGTGATCAAGTCTAAGGCCGCACGAAAGGAAGACTCCGAAAAAGTCATCCCGTGACACTTAGCAAGCCTTATGAACTCTTAGCTCTTTATTGATGTTTTTGTTAGGTGGCTCAGGCTGATGAGGAGTAATTTACCCCACTTGCATTCATTCATATGCACACAGAGCAATTGAATATCATGTGAGTGTAGATGGGAACACTTGAATCTGTGCTCCGGCCATGTGCTCGGAATGCCTTGTAAAACATTATATATATATATAAGATGTGGGTGGCCTCTGTGTCTCTCTATTTGCCAAAATTCATTACAATTTTACAAAAGCCAATGTGCAGAAGGCAAGATCCATCCATGCCCTTACAGCTCAGTGACAGAGTTGTTCATTTTCTTCTGCTCAGACAATTTGGTCTGGCCAAGGAAATTGGAGAGTCTCCCACCGTGGCATTTTAATCATATCATAGTCATTCTTTCTATTAAAAAAAAAAAAAAAAAAAAGGTCATTGTAAATGGGCTTGAAACCTTATAGCAGAAAAATGGGCCACAATGCACCACACTATCAGTTCCAAACACATAACAGAACCTTACAAGCCCATACCTGCCTGTTACTCAGTGGCCCATTAATTTCTAGATTAATCCCATCACTTGCCCATTGCAGTAAAAATTCTATTACTGGAAGTTGTACCCCATTCCATATCAAGCCCTATCCCATCAAAAATTCCCTCTTCTTGCAGACACAACCCATCAGATTTACAACAACCTCCACCGCACACCCCATCCCCTTTGAAATAGAGCTATTGCACAACTCATCTCTGCAATCCCCATCGCACAACCCATCTCTGCAAACCCGAACCCATCGCACAACCCATCTCTAAAACAGAGCCATCACACCCCATAGCCAACCCCAAACGCCTCATCCCGTCGCAAACCATGATTGCCTTAGCCATCGCAAACATCCATCACCAATCTGTCAAGTTTTCACAAATCCTTCGAAGAGCCAAGATATGATTTCAATTTTGATTTCTATATTTATGTTTCTAAGTGTTGATTAAGTGTAGGTTTGATTTCACTTTTGAAAAGCTAAAGTCTGATTTTAATTATTGATTTCAACTTAGTGGGTGTATGGTTCGAACCTGGTTTTACGAAATTGGATTTTTGTTTCAGTGGATTACCACTGAAATGGTTACATTGCTTCAGTGATAGTCCACCAAATTTGAACTTGAAATTAATTTTACTTTTGGTGGATTAGCACCGAAATCGTTACCTGGTTTCAGTGGTAGTCCACCGAATTTGTTTCCATTTTTCAGGAGACGTCCACCGAATGTATTTTCGTTTTTCAATGGTACTCCATCGAATATGTTTTATTTTTTCAGTGATAATCCACCAAATTTGTTTCCGTTTTTTAGTGATTATCTACCAAATATGTTACTGAGTGTGTACTTGATATTGTTTATTTTTAGATATGAAAAGGACTCACAAAGGTAGTATTGAGGTTTCATCATCTCGACCTAATAGATAGCGTCACATGGCCTCAACGAGGAGACAGAGAGTGGCTCCCCAAGATCACTTTGAGGATACTACAGAGGTTGAAGATGTAGCTCCTACTCATGATAGTAATGTTGACACAGAGGTTGAAGATGTACCTGCTACTCATGATAGTAATGTTGAGGTAGATGCCGAGCCTACTGAGCCATCTCGAGTAGGTCTCATTGATCCATATTTACTTACGAGTTTTAAAACTCACATAGCAGTTGCAATTTGGAATAACCAGGTAAGTCGTTTTACTGTGACAATAGAAGGTAGAATATAAGTCTGGTTCATGGTAATTAACCTTGATTTTTTTATTTTTTTTTAACTAGGAACGTGAGCCCCTTAGGTGTATGTCGAAGACATCTACTCTTTGTGAGTGGAATTGGTAGGGTAATCCAAATAATGGTATATTCAAATGGTACATTCAGAGGTCTGGATTAGAGCAACTTATTAGGTGTTCTTATCAGAATGCTGATAAGATTGTGGTATCTACATTTGTTGACAGGTGTCATCCCAAAACGAACACCTTTCACATGCCTTTTGGCTCGAGCTGAGTTGTCGCTTCAACTTTGCATGTGTACTTTCCGCTTAGTTGATAACAATAATAAATTTTCCTGAAGCAAAATAAATTTTCAAATAAACATATCAAAAGTTGACTAAAATACTTACCTATTTGAGGTCGTCGATTTAAGATGCATAGAAGTGTTTGTCCATGCGGCTACAAACCTATCCTTAAATGGATTTAACCAATTGTCATGTATGTATTCAAGAGCTTTTTGAAATTCACTGAACTTATACTCAATTTGTCGCAAACAAAGCCAAAATTCCTCCTCCGTTTCTGAACCAACCAAAGTTTTCCAATCCTCATTAAATTGCTTCCATTGTTTGAGGGTCCCAAATAACTTCTTGCAGTTTGCCAACACTCCTTTGTTAATATGCCATGTCGTGCTTTTGGAAATATAGATAATAACACCAGGAAGACAATTATCATCTAACAAACTCGTCAATGTAGTCAATGCCCATGTATAATTTTCTTCCTTCGCGGCATTCATATACACATACACAGTAGAGAATGTCATATTAGTAGATGTCACTCCCACAATTTGCAATAGTGGGAAACGATACCTATTAGTCTTATAAGTGCAATCCATGATAAATACATGTGGAAATGCATGCAAAATCTTAATATTAATGGGGTGTGTCCAAAACATGTCAGTTATAACCAGATGTCCTATGCTACTCAATATAATTGTGTTCAGATAACTTAGTAAGCAATTGTTGCATTTGGGTTCTCCCAGCAAATTCTTTGGTTATATTTCAGATCCTAGCATTGTATATTGTCTTCATAGTTGAAACATTCATTGCATCTCTATCCTTAAAGGTGACCAAAATATCCCTGGGGTTCACCAAACTCTTAAACATGTCCACCAACAAGGCATTCTCCTCTTCAGAAAGTCGCCTTACAAATGAATGACCTTGAAGATACTCTAAAATAGGATGGTTGTTACTCCACAAACCACCTCCAACTTCCAATCATCCCCATCACCAATATTGACACCTTTAACAAGAATAGGCATCCACATTTCTTGGTACCAGTGTCCCTAACACATTTTTTCATATCACTATTTGCATCCGACCTTATATCAGTTGTCTCACTAGACTTGTAAGACTTATAGTTACCGCTCCTCTCACAAGCAAGTATTACACGAGGTCTCATCTTGCCATCACCTCCATAATTAGACCTTTTAATTACAATGACAATATTATTCATTTTTCCTTATGCACAAGCCCATCTAAGTAATGAATCTCTAACATTGAATATCTACACATAAAACTCATATTATTTGAAGATAAATTTGAAACATTAATGTCATGTTAATTATATTATAAAGGATTTCAAACAAATAAAAACTCAAAATAATTACAAAATAAGTTGTGAATTGATCACTATAGTCCATTACACATTATGTTCCCTTATTGTTGCCTTCACTAGGAGCGTCACCTTGTTTTTGTTCCTTCAATGAGAGTAAGATCAAAATAGCTTGCATTAAATTTGTGGTCGGCAATAAGTTACTGAAAAAATAAATAAATTTCGGTTCAATGCCACTGAAACGCAAGTAAAAATTCGGTAGTGAACCACTGAACTATGTTCCATGATACGGTGGATCTCCACCGAATATTAAGTTCATGACCGGTCAAACACAACCGAAACAGGTGCAACGTTTCGGTGACATCCCACCGAATTTACCTATCGCGTTCAATACTGATATGCTGAACGCCATTAGCAACCATTATGAAATACTAAACTTGCAAAACACCAAAAAATAAACTCATACCTCATTCAAAGCCTATCTAACTTCAATCTCACCATTCATGAATAAATACAAGATATTTTTTCACCAATATAAATGTATAAATCTAGGGTTTAGGGTTTAGGAACATGATGGTTTGAGAAAAAAATCAAACTAGAGTTGCAGGAACATATGTTGGGTGTAGTGAGCAATTTTAATTTTTTTTGTCCTTAACGGTAATTATATATAAGGGTAAAATAGGTTATTCATGTTTAAAATTAGCATGGGTTGTAACAAGCAAATAATGGGATGCCAATAAAATCTCCCTTCATTTTATTGTTCATTTTATAATTGATCGATCAAGTTGACTATTTGAGATATAAAAGAAAGAAAAACAGAAATATTAGAATTCTCAGCTAAAGTATGGTGCTGCTTATTTGGGGCAACCACCCTTTGTTCCCAGCATTTACTATACATACGAGATGGTGCTTTAATCTGGGATAAGTTGACCACCCTTTTTTTTTTCCTTCGGAGCATATACTATAGTAATGTAGCAACCAAGCGCTACCCTTTATTCTAAGCATTTACCTTTACACGAGAAAGACAGAGAGAACGATGGTTGCATAGCAACCGAAAGCCGAAGGCCACCATCACGACCACGAGGCAAGGCCGTCTTTGCTCACAAGGAGAAACTTCTATGGCAATTCGACAGGGTTAATGTTCCATATGTCTTTGGCATATTCGTGAATGGTTCTGTCACTGCTAAACTTGTATGAGCCTGCTGTGTTCAGGATTGACATTCTTGTCCATATCTGCCCCAAACAACAGTTAAAAACATTAGGCACAAACTAACAAAGTCTCAACATCAAGTAGACATGTGTAACAACAAACAAGGGCATCCATAGCTCACCTTTTGGTCCCGATATGCCTCATCAACCTTCTCTTGGCATTCTATATAACTGGGGAAGTCTTTGCCCACAAGGAAATAATCTGCACGGCCAAATCCTTCATTTCCTTCCAAGGATCCAATCAGTTCATCATAATTGAACGACCCAAAAACACCACTTCTGATAAATTCCTTCACTTCTTCAAAACGTGGGTCTGGAACGAACTGCATCAAAGAGAGAATAGGTCAAAATCCCATGAGACGATGAGTAGATAAAGAAATAAATGATTATCTGTTAACTCTGCCGAATTACTTCTAAGGCAGAAACATTTTCACTGGATTAATTTCTATAAGGAAAACGAGAACAAAGTAACAATTTGGTTATTGAGACAAACCTTCCCCTCAGCTCTTTCTTTTCTCAGCCCAGCAATCTCATGAGCTTTAGCACCAAACAGGAAAAAGTTGTCTGCTCCAACCTCTTCTCTTATTTCAACATTGGCACCATCCAGAGTCCCAATTAGGATGCAGCCATTCATTGCAAACTTCATGTTGCTGGTTCCACTGGCCTCCATCCCAGCAGTACTACAAAGAAATAATAATAAATTTGTTAAAGAGGCCCACATAACAAAGGGGGCAGGGGTTCATAGTCAGCAGCATGAACTCTTCCTCTTAACACAGTTAGATATTACCATAACTGTTTCAACAATCAGTCTTAGTGCTCAGAGTTTGCATAGGCAGACAATGATAGACGTAGTGATTAACACAGGCATATAAGTATGCTTTTGCATTACCACTCACAGACAGAAAAATTATGTGAACAGAAAAATGAATCTTATTAAGAATGAAGCTGAATTACCTGATGTGCTGTGAGAGCTCACTTGCAGGAATTAACAATTCAGCAACACTGACATTGTAATCAGGAACGAAGACTACCTACAATCAATGATCTAGTGGTTCAGTAATTCAAATGAACTCACAGCAAATCAAAATACAGACATGTAAGAAATTTTTTGAGTTCTTTCACAAAGCCAACTTATATTAAGTGTAAGTCAATGAAGTATGCAAAATCAATTATTTTTATCAAGATATCCATACCTTCAATAGATCACCTATGCCAGGATCACGATTTATAGTTGCAGCGACATCTGTGATAAATTTCACAATTCTCTTGGCTTGCACATATGTGGAAAATGCTTTTCCTCCAAACATACAAACACGTGGAACAAACTTTGCTTTCCTTCCTGAAGCACTCATTTCTTTCATTTTCTTGTAGCGGTAAACAATTCCGAAAATATTCAAAAGTTGTCTCTTGTATTCATGAATGCGCTTCACCTGAACAGAAACATTCCAATTTACAGAAAAACACAAGGAAATTTTGTCTACCAAATAAACCAAAAGTTGACAGGTCAACAGCTATGCTTTGCAAGTCCCTATTAACATATATTTGAATGATTATTTGAACCATATCAAGGGCATCAATCATGGGCTAATGGAATCTTAGTACAGGGGATTATTCAGCAACAAACTAGTTCTCAATATTGACTATTACAAGTTTACAACCCATCACAGAATTCAACATGACCAACTTTTCCCTTTCAGAGAAGAATTTTCTTCGCCGTTGGCTGATGCTAAAATATTATTTAATACTCCAAGCTTAGCAGCCATCTATATACCAAGAAATAAATTTGAACGCAGGGAAAGTACCTGTATATCAAACATTGCATCAGGGTTGACAGAATATCCTGTTCTTTCTTTGATCAATGATACAACTTTCAACTTGTTGCTTCTTTTTGCTTCCCTCCATTGGGTTTGGAGATCATTATTATCTGCAAACTATCATAAAACCAAATAACTCCAGTAAGTATATAACTATAACATAGGTGCTGCGCAAAGTTATATTAAAGTAAACATAACTCTAAATGGATCATTCATAAGACTTTTACCTTTCGTAATTCTGCCAGATTTTCAGTATTTAAGACCCAGTCTTCCGTGCCAATCCACTTGGTTATAATTTTACTCAAATCTGGATTGCAGAAGCGGATCCATCTTCTTGGTGTCACCCCATTTGTTTTGTTTTGAAATTTCTTAGGCCACAACTGCCAAATTTAAAGATTCGAGATTAATGATAAGATCAAGTTTCAAAGTTTCGAAGAGCCCATCTTCACTAAAATTATTGAGGCTTACCTTAAAAAATGAGTTGAATACTTCATCTTTTACTATTTCACTGTGTATTTCAGCAACACCATTTACTGCATGACCACCCACAACACAGAGATTTGCCATGCGTACTAACTTTGGCGGCGGTTCCACCAACACCTTTTTCTTTTTTTCCTCATCACATTTCTTCTCAGGTCCATTTTCTTCATCAACAGATTCATCTTCTTCATCAACAGATTCATCATCTTCATTAACAGATTCATCATCTTCATCAACAGATTCATCTTCTTCATCTTTTGAATCTTCAAGTTCTTCACTGGGAACAACAACAGAGCTTTCTTTGGGTTTAACAAATAGATCCGCAAATGTGGCAGGCAAATCAACATTTTCTAATATTCTCATCTCCTTCAGTTTCTTCTCTAATAAATCACAATCTGCTGTACCATACTCCGAGATTATGGTGTTAATGAGCTGCAGAATATGCAAATGTAAACAATCAGTATGCATAAAAACTCCAAAGGTAAGAATGATTTAATTTTTTACATATACATTCAAGCATTACCTCCTCATCTATCATTTCTATAATCTCAACATGTCGAGGAAGCAGTTTCTGCATAAGTTCTAAACTCCATTTTTCCAATGCTTCAGGTAGAACAGTATGGTTTGTATATGCAACCGTTCTAGCACACAGATGGCAGGATGTGAGGGAAAAGAAGTTGCTACCATAGAACATTTACTAAGAATAGGTATCCTTAATGAACAATTAACATTATACATGGGGCAAACAACTCCTTGACAAATATGACTAACATATGAACAATTTCCTTCTTCTTTTTTATGGGATAAAGATGGAAAGGTTATTGGACGAACAAAAGCATAAAAAGAAACCAAATTCCAGACTACTTAAGTGCATGGAAACCCAAAGTCAATTGAAGAGGGCTACATGTGAAAAGATATTCATGCGTATGCATGTATGTATGATACCACAACTACTTAACTCCCCAATAACATTCAGGAAAAGAAAAGGAAAAAGATGCTCTCCACTAGTAACAAGCAAGAGTCTCTTGCTCGTATTATCATGTTCCAACTATTCTCACAGTAAAATTTAAGTTGTCTCTGAATTCCCCCTTTGTTCATACACTACAGATAGTCCTACATAATCAACCAATAAATGCCCAAAAAAGGCGTTACCTTTGAGTAATATTCCAGGCCTCCTTCCAGCTCAAACCCTTCAAATCAATCAAAATTCTCATCAGTTCAGGAATGCAGAGAGTTGGATGAGTATCATTCATCTGCACTGCAACCTTCTCGGGGAACTCCTCCCATTTGATATTTGGTCCAGATCTTCTCTCAAAACGTTCAACAATATCTTGGAGAGAAGCAGAACATAAAGTATATTGTTGCTTCAAACGAAGTGTCTTGCCCTCCACTGATTCATCCCCAGGATAAAGTACATAGCAAATCTGTTAACCATTAAATAAAATGCTACTTACCAATTAAATTATATGTGGGCACAATAACAAACATAACAAAAACAACATTTGAAAGCAGGCAATTACTGGTCACTAAAAATATCCCTAATAGGTAGAGAGTACCACATGGAACAAATATATATTAAAGATCGCTTCTTTTAAAGAATGCAGTTAGCGTCCTCCTCACCGAGGAATTAGTAAAAGAAAAAGAAGACGAAACACATAAAACCCGAAATCTGTATTTGCTGATTAAATCGACAAAGTGCAGGGGTGGTGAAAGCCAGATTCATTTCAAGAAACATTTATGAAATCATGAGGACACAGACAAGCCTGTTTGGTGCAGTGAAAAGGGAAACTGGAAAAGGAAATAAAAAAGGAAAAGAAAAGGAGCCCCATATAATGTAGAAACCTTTTCAGCATTTGCTAAAGCTTCAGATGCTTTAGTGTGCTCTCCAGAATTAAAAGCATGTAAATCAAAATCCTGTGATGAAGCTTTCGTTGACCAAAGCCGCAAGTTGATCGTGGTTTTAGTTTTATATCCTGGTATTGGAACATCATAAGCAACAGCATCTATGTCTTCTCCTCCAATCCAATGTCGTTTTCCATCAGATCCAGAAACAACCTTGCCATAAAATTTAACAGGATAGGAGACATCATTTCTCACAATTTCCCAGGGATTCCCCAGCTGCAAGAGTCAGCAACTAATAAGACATGATTTTTCCAAAAACCTATACAGACAATGAAGCAATTAGAACAGAAAGATGAAAACAGAAAGCTTGCATACCTCAAGCCAATCCTCAGCAACTTCTTCTTGACCATCTTTAGTAATTCGCTGTTTAAATAAGCCATACTTGTATCTAAGTCCATAACCCCATGCTGGATAATTTAAAGTTGCCAAAGAGTCCAAGAAGCAAGAGGCAAGGCGTCCAAGACCTCCATTTCCAAGTGCAGCATCTGGTTCCTGTAATCAATCATCTATATAAATTGGTTGCACCAACACACAAACACAAAGCTTACTGCTTTACAAAGAGCATCTAAAGTTGTCAGGAAAAAAGACCATTCTCTTACATGGCAAGAGGAAAAAAAGAAGAAAAATATCCTCCCTTGAAACTTCCAAATCTGTCTAAATGGTATTCACAATTACGTAGATTTTATTACTGACTTCTTCTAGACAATTGTTCATGCTAGTCTTGTTCAAGAAATTTTTTCATTTTTTAGACATCTTGTCCATATATTCTCATTCTGATAGTTACAGAGCCTCTTGCTAAAGCTCCAGCATTCCCTTTTTTCTCATTAGAATTGCAATTTATATGAGGTAAGAGATGTACACAATTACTAATTATGCAAAACTAACATGAATGTCCATAACCAAATTTTAAAAGGTAAAAACTAGCTGGAAGCTCACCTGGCAAGCAACATTTTCTAATTTGTGTCCAAGCTTGCTTAAAGCCTCTGCATATGCACCATCTAGCTCTAAATTACCAATTGCATTTAGCAGCGCTCTACCCTACAAAACAGGACATCATGAACTGAAGCATCTGCAAGCTACATAGGTCACAGAAATGTACATCCACGCTCGTGGGAGCCAATATAGGAGATTCATGACAAACCTGTAGAAATTCCATTGACAAATAATATGCCTGCTTTGCATTCAACTTTTCATAATAAGCATATGTTGCATTCCAGTTAATGATGAGTGCATCACGAACACTTTGTGCAGTTGCAAAGAAGGCCTTTGGAAGCTCAAATCTCTCTGGAGAAAACGATGGGGTGAACTCTGCATGGTATTTGATACTTGAAGCGATGGATGCAGCATCGGGTATGAATGAGCTGAGTATGGAGGAATCTTCAAAGTAAAAAGTAAGAAGTTACAAAATTAAGTACAATATAATATTTTCGGAATTACTACATCAAAACATAAGAAAGTAAGGAGCAAATCTCTCTCTATATATGTCTCAGATATAGAGAATTTGAAAGGGATTATCCTATACTGGTCCAGCGTGCCCCTATGTTTCCAACAACCAATCACATATTTGCCATGTCAGCATCAAAAAAGGATCCGAACCCACCAGCTAATGCGTGCCATGTATCAATTCAAGATAGCAGAAAAGCCAGCTTAACCAGATGATTTTCAGGTTTTCAGCTATCTACTTGGCAAACCCCATTTCCAAAAACTCCTAAACGGTAGAGTTTGATCGGAACTGGATAGTGGATTGTCATCAGATAAATTGCATGGATTTTCTTTATACATTTTCATGTATATTGATCCATCAGATTGGTGGGTTCCAATCCTTTTCTGAAACTAACAAGGTAAAATGTGATCGAGGAGCTCATAAAGTTAAAGCATGCGTTTTTATGTATATTAAAGAACAGGGTGTGTAAGGAAACAAGAAGATGAGAACCTTGTTCGACGATCGGATCCTTCAGCTTCTGGGAAGGCTCACTCGACGCGTTCTTCACCGAAAATGAAAACGACCTCCTCTGGTTCAAGTTCCTCCTCGTGAACAAAAGCTTTGATTTGTTCTTTCTGGAACTGAAATCGATCAATTTAGATTGAGATTTGCATTGCCAAACTGTCTCTGCTCCAACCCGAGTTGCAGCAAATTGGGAAGCTGCCATTGCTCTAATACTCTCTGTCTCTGACTCTCTCTCTCCCCCTCTCTCACAGTATGATAATGAGTCTCTGAGTCACTGAGTCAGTGACACTCGTTCGTTTGTGAGGGTGATGCGGATACTGAGAGAGATAGTATCTGCCTTCTTATCTCTTTTCACGAGCTCACTGTCACTACAATCAAAAAGTCCATTTTCAAATAAATAGATCCAAGCATGGGCCCCACCCGGTTTCTATTTGATTGTTACATGCACTTTCCACTTCTAATTTCATACGATAATTGAGATTTTTTGAGTCAATAAATACTCTGCTTTAAACACCAATTTTTATTTTTATTTTGCTTACCACATCCACACGCCATGCCCTCATTTGTTGATTACGATGAGTCAACCGTTGACTATTGGGAGCCAGCTGAGTGCAACAACATTTGCATGGTTTCATGTTGTAGTGGATCTCTCTCTACTATCAATTTTCATTTTTTTTTTCTTTGTTTTGTGAATTTTTTTATTGAGACGAATGATAGTATACTAAATTCACACACACTACACGGATACTAGGATTCTCATCTAATAAGTATGAAGTAATATGTCGATCTTTTCGGATCACAGAGTATAAATTTTTTACAGGCTATCAATTTGAGCTATTTTTTTGGCCGTCAATTTGAGCTAATTTTGGGTCCGTCAATTTGAGTATAAATATTGTATTAGGTGTGCAATTGCGCGGGTCCATAGCTTTGGTTTTTTCGATTTGGACCGTCTACTTGTGAGCATGTCATTTGATGAATTGAAAAATAAAGAGGCAATCAATGAGGCGTGGACAAGGTGGTGCCGACGATGAGTCACGAGAGATGAGCACCGTCGGTTTGGTGCTGGCGCAGATTTTGGAGAAGCTGCCGTCCAAACAAAACTTCTGCTGAGCTGATTTTAACAATCACTCGGAGTACTCCTGCAGATTTTTGACTTTCTTGATATTCATAATGGGTTTGCTCAAAGCCTCATCAAAAGCCCATGCAAGTTTCGTTCAATTTGGACGTTTGTTTGGTCCCGGCGTAGCAATGTATAGCGCCCAAATATGTATACAAATTGGGCCTTTGTGGCAGCTGAAATGGTTGCTTGCTTGCTTGCTTGCCCGCCTGCGCCCACTTCAAAACCGTTGACCATACAAAGACCAAAGTCATCCTTAATTCACTAATAAACCAAACAAAACGAACAGAAAAAGGCACGTGATCCTCCACCATCACTGTCAGATAAAGTCACAGGCTATAACATTGGATCATCCAAATGCCTACCTTTTATTTTCAAATTTTTTTTTTCTCGAGTCTTGCTACTTGACTGCCTCAATGTCAATTAGTATCAAATTCAACCCAAAATCCCAAACCCACACAATTTGTCCTTCTCAACCTCGAGCATAAACCCATCATTTCCCTTCAAAGCTTTACCTTGTAGGCTTCCCAATGGCCTCTCACCACCACCATCACCACCCCCACCACCACCACCACCACCAAACCCCACCCCCCACCACCCTTTTCTTCACCACCTC